TCTACCTTGTAGGATCCTCTGGGGGATAAAATGAGTTAATATATGTAAAGTATTTATAAGGGTGCCCAGCACATAGTTATTATTCATAAACATTAGTTGGGATTCTATTTTTGTTGTTATATTAGTGGCACCTTCTACAGTCTATCTGTTCTCCCCATTTCAGGATATTCTGTGAAAATTTAAGTGTTCTGTCAAAAACACCATGAGTTCAAGGTGCTGCCATCTCAAACATACCTGAGAAGCACTATTAAACTTGTTTTTTTTTCCTCTCATAAAATTGGGGAGGGGTATACATTTTTTGCTTTGCCCAAGGTCAACACACCTGGGGAGATCCTCTTCCCAAATGAGGGAAACAAGAGGTTGATCTCTGCCTCTTCTTTCCATTCTCAGTGAAGGAGAATGTAAGACCTCAGTGAGGTCTTACATCAGGGTGCTGGCTGCAGATTGGAAGAGAGCCTTATTCTACATAAGGCTCTACATATTCTACATGAGGGGTAAGGGTAAATAATACCCTTATTCTACATAAGGGGTAAGGGTAAATATACCCTTATTATACATAAGGGGCAAGGGTAAATAATACTACTAGGGCAAAGCTAGCAAGTGGCTGAAGCTGGTAGGTAGCACCTTCTTTTAAACTTAAACTCTAGACCCCTTTCAGTTGCCTGTCCTGGATGTCCTCTCCAGAAGAGCTCTTGAGTGTCATGGTGACACTCTTCCACTTTCTCCTTCCTCTCACCCCAGTGCTAAGGATCCAGTGCCATCACAGGAGACCCTGCTACCCTAGGTCCCCTGATAATCCCCTGGATTATCATATCCCACTGCCTTTGCCTGCCCACGGTACTTCTCTGGATTCAGAAACCCTGGGTATTCCTGCCCCCCACCACACACACACACACACACACACACAAACACGCTTTCAGTACTCAGGGCCAGGCTCTCTGTGCCTCACAAATGCTTCCTGAGAAACTAATTCATACTTCCAGAGAAAAAGTATTATTGGTTAAGATCAGGGGCTTTAGATCCAACTCAAGTCTTGGAATTTGGGGCTAGATGCAAATTGTGTGACTGGGCAACTTGCTTATCATTTTTGAGCATCATTCTTCTCCTTTGAAAAATGGGGGTATCAATTCCTATTTTGGAGAGCAGTTGGAATAATTAGCTGAGACATATCTATAGCATTGAGCACAGACCTGGTAAGCAATAAAAAAACAGAAGCAATTATTGTTGTCTTATGCTAATAGGAAAACTTTTGACAAAGTAGTCCTTCCCCTCACCCCTGTCCCTCTGCCTAATTCTGACTTCTCTACCTGGTAAAATGACTTTTATAAAGATGATGCTTTCTGTTTTGATGGCCAGAATCCCAAATTAGGGATTCTATTCATACAGTCCCGCCTACGGGTCATTTTGGTGAGCCAGCAAAAGCAAAGATTGAGCAAGGAGAGATACAGACTAATTCCTGCTTGACTGCTAACAAGTCAGGTGATTTGGGGCAAGTTATTATTCCTGGAGGGCCATCAGTTTTTCACCTGTAAAAGGGAGAGTTGGGATAAAATGGGCTTTTAAGTTCTTTCTGTTAATAGTTCTGACATGCTATGATTCTATACAAAAGGGTTATTCTCTGAGTGAGTTCTTTTATTTACACTTAAGAACATTAGCTGATAACATGTTTTCTTTTTACTTCTGAGACAGTTTGTGCACCTTTACCTTGCCTCACATTTTCCACCTGCAAAAAGTAGTAGTTGAAGGTAGACAGTGGATTTGGTCATTCTAGATTTGGATAGCAATACCAGTGCTTGTCCTTGGGCCATTTATTTAAATTCTCTGAGCGTCAGTTACCTTATCTGTTGAATGGTGATAACAGTAGGTGTGAAGGTGAAAAGAGAAAGCATAGAAATATTTAACACCAAAGGCATAATGTCCCATAGGGCATAAACCAGTTTTATCTCTAACCTAGTGACCTTTTTTCAAAATGTCTTTCTGTGTGGACAGTGAATACTCCGTTACCCTCTTGCTGGTTCCTTCATTAATTAATGAGTTTAATAAAATCCTTCACAGGTGTTTTTATTTTTGTACGACAATCACCCTTTGAACCTTTTGAAAGTTACTCTTTGACAAGTCCTACCTAACTCTGCCTTGACACTTTTCTAAACAGACTGACATTGGCAAAACTAACTTTCCTGGAAATGCTGATTCAGTTCACTTCAGTCACTCAGTCCTGTCTGACTCTTTGCAATCCCATGGACTGTAGCACGCCAGGCTTCCCTGTCCATCACCTAACACCTGGAGCTTGCTCAGACTCATGTCCATTGAGTCAGTGATGCCATCCAACCATCTCATCCTCTGTCATCCCCTTCTCCTCCTGCCTTCAATCTTTCCCAGCATCAGGGTCTGTTCTAATAAGTTGGCTCTTCTAATCAGGTGGCCAAACTAATGGAGGTTCAGCTTCAGCATCAGTCCTTCCAAAGAATATTCAGGACTGCTTTCCTTTAGGATGGACTGGTTTCATCTCCTTGCAGTCCAAGGGACTCCCAAGAGTCTTCTCCAACACCACAGTTCAAAAGCATCAATTCTTTGGCACTCAGCTTTCTTTATAGTCCAACTCTCACATCCATACATGACTACTGGAAAAACCATAACTTTGACTAGATGGACCTTTGTCGGCAAAGTAATATCTCTGCTTTTTATTATGCTGTCTAGGTTGGTCATAGCTTTTCTTCCAAGGAGCAAGTGTCTTTTAATTTCATGGCTGCAGTCACTGAGTGATTTTGGAGCCCAAGAAAATAAAGTCTGTCATTGTTTCTATTATTTCCCCATCTATTTGCCATGGAGTAACAGGACTGGATGCCATGATCTTCATTTTTTGAATGTTGAGTTTTAAGCCAGCTTTTTCACTCTTCTCTTTCACCTTCATTAAAAGTCTCTCTAGTTCCTCTTTGCTTTCTGCCATAAGGGTGGTGTCATCTGCATATCTGAGGTTACTGATATTTTTCCTGGCAATCTTGATTCTAGCTTGTGCTTCATCCAGCCCGGCATTTCCCATGTACTCTGCATATAAGTTAAATAAGCAGGGTGACAATATACAGCCTTGACGTACTCCTTTCCCAATTTGGAATCAGTCCATTGTTCTATGTCTGGTTCTAACTGTTGCTTCTTGACCTGCAACAGACTTCTCAGGAGACAGGTAAGGTGGTCTGGTATTTCCCATCTCTTGAAGAATTTTCCAGTTTATTGTGATCCACACAGTCAAAGCCTTTAGCATAGTCAATAAAGCAGAAGTAGATGTTTTTCTGGAATTCTCTTGCTTTATTATGATCCAACAGATGTTGGCAATTTGATCTCTGGTTCCCCTGCCTTTTCTAAATCCAGCTTGAACATCTGGAATTTCTCGGTTCACATACTGTTGAAGCCCAGCTTGGAGAATTTTGAGCATTACTTTGCTAGTGTGTGAGATGAGTGCAGTTGTGCAGTAGTTTGAACATTCTTTGGCATTGTCTTTCTTTGGGACTGGAATGAAAACTGACTTTTTCCAGCATGTTAGCCACTGCTGAGTTTTCCAAATTTGCTGGCATATTGAGTGCAGCACTTTAACAGCATCATCTCTTAGGGTTTGAAATAGCTCAGCTGGAATTCTATCACCTCCACTAGCTTTGTTCGTAGTGATGCTAAGTTATTGAAAACTACAAAAAGCACACTGAGTTGTTCCATTTTTATACTTTCTTCCCTCTTCATCCTTCTGTCAGTTAGCCAGCCAGGTCTTATGGGGGTGAGGGCAGAGAAAACCCCGTGGAGGAATATTCTACCTAGTGGAAAAAGAAGCAGGCAAGCAGTAAGATGAGCCTAGCAGAAAGAGATACTCTAATTATGGCCTTTACATTTATGACCAGCAAGATAATGAAGGAAGGTAATTCTGAAAGCTTTCTGTCAGTTTTAATGGGCCCTCAAGCCCTGAGAAAAATAAGAGTCAATGGCTGGTGTCCATAAGGATTTTTTTCCTACTTCTCCCCTGACAGCCATTGACAGGATCATTTTGTATTTGCAACTGCTATCACTGAAGCATGGAGAAAAGGCCTGTAAGGCCAGGAGGATGAGAGCGACCTTCCTGCAAGGATCTCTATGGTCATCACTATGGCAATAATAGTTACTATAATTTTCATTCTGCTTTTCTATACAGTGTCTACTTTGTGGAGCTCAAGGCTATAGGATTTAGGTCACATGAAATCACACTAGCATAAAATCATGCTTTGTAATCTTGCAAGAGTATTTTATAAAACTGCAAAGAGAACTTAAGCAGCAAGATAAAAATTATTACCAATGCAGATCATTGACTAATACAATTATTTATTATAGTTTTACAGAGGCTTTCAGATAAAGTGTCAGTTTGACAGTCTTCCCCCCCCCCCACCCCGTATTTGGATTGTTAAACCACTGCCAGTTTTTCTCCCCAAGGACATGGCTTATTATTTTGGAGTAAAAGTGTACATTAACTACCAACCAGCTCTCAGTCGTCGTCTGGTAGTTTCTCTTTATTATCCGCAATTAAATCATAAGGACAGGAGCCACGCCTTCTATATCATGTATGCGCACTGCACTCTCCATAGAGTAAAATTTCACTGTTATCACCTTTCCGACAGAGAGCTTTACAGACATCTAACACTAACTACAAAAAGACCCTTCATGAAGGAAGCAGGATGGTGCGCTCACCAGTGATCTCAGGGCGGGATGAAAAATCTCCAAGAGGGGTCTCGAGGCCGAGAGAAAAGAGTTGAACACTAAAAAAGCGGGGTGCAGAGAAAAAAGATGAAAAACGAGAAAGACAAACCAAAAGAAGCAGAGCCAACGACTTAACAGACTAAAAAATAGAGATCACAAAAAGCAAACAGAAAGCTAAGTTGCGCTCCAGTGGCAAAGCAAGCTGAAAGGGAGGACGCACGAGGGGCAGAGACTACAGCCCCCAAAATCCCTTGCGGCACCTCCTCCCTGGGCGTCCGTCTCCTAGGCAACCCCTGTAAACAAGATGGCGACCTCCGGGAGAGAGCCCAAGTTTCCGAGGCCTTCCTCTCTCCAGGGAGGCATGAGCATTTCACAGACTGGAGCGCAGTCGAAAGTGCTGCACTCAGGAAAGGATCGTTCCTCTTGCTGGTCTCCTTTTCCCATGGGGCAGAGACCGAAAAATACTGTATACAAAGCCACCTCCTACCTGCTCCAGCACCTCATTCACCGCTATCAGGAGTCAGACGTGGAGAGAAATTACTACGACCTGGAAGAGGGCGAGGGCGAAGTGGAATCCGAGGTGTCCTCAGAATCCGAAATGCTGAATTTTGAGGTATGCCTTCCCCCCACCCCTCACCCTCTCATTTCCTTCTCCAGTGGTCAGAACCCCTTCACCAGCCTGCGGCTGAGCCTCATTCCTAGGGCTCCTTGCCTCCAGGAGCGCCTCTTCCTTTCTGCTCTGAGACTCCCTTCCTCTCCTCCCCGTTTCCGTTGCCCCATTTCCTCACTCTTCATTTTTCATTAGCACATGTGATTCCGTAAGAATCATTACGCAGCGTCCTTACAAAAAGTATCTATTTGTATGAAAGTTGTGACTTTAACTTTTTCAAAATTATACCTCTACAGCATTGTGAATTGCCAGGAGTTCCACGTCTGCACCCTCTGTACCGTTTCGTCATGATTGTGAAATACTCCCAACACTCTCCTCAGTTTCTAGTCCCTTCATCCTCCTTCCTCTAGGAAAAACAAACAAACCAAGAAAACCCCTTTTGAAGTAATCTTAAGTGCTGCTGTTCCCTTCTACAGGGGATCTTCCCAACCCAGGGATCGATCCCTGGTCTCCCACATTGCAGTCAGATTCTTCACCAGCTGAGCCACAAGGAACGCCCATTTTATTCCTCAAAGACCAAGTGTCTTGGAAGTTTTATATATTGCTTATGCCAGGGGTATATAATGGATTATACAGACAACACACACATGCACGCACCGCTCACTGTGAGAGTATTTTAGGATTTGGGGAGTTGTCCCAACATTCCCATCAGTGATACCTGTTGGCAGCTTGGCCTTTCACACTGATAATACAAATTCCCTCTTTTCTACAGTGTCTCATCTAAACACCACCCAATGCAACTTCTTACACTTATCATCCTGTTCCTTCCTTAGTTCCTTACCTGCTTTCTTGCCCCTTTCCACTTCATATCTTACCAATTCCTTCTCTTGACTTCCTAATGAATTGTTTGCTTTCTTTAAAAATGTAAATTGATTTGCTTTCTTTTAGTAAACTGTTAGGTTTTCCTCCTTGTCTTGGCTGCCAGGAATTATAACATGTTTTCCCCTTAATTCAAAAATTTTCTTAATTTCAATAGTTTTTCTCTAGATTACATTTTTCTCTTCCCTTTCCTCCTCTTTGAGAGTATAAATTGCTTCAGACTCTTTTCAGAAGTAGGTATAATAGAGAAAGTCTCCAACATCCGGTTCTGTGATGTTTTTCTGACATCCCCTCTGTCTCATTGTGCCTTTTCATCTCCTAGTCACCTTTCTCTCCCCCTTGAGCTCAAACAGGTTTCTCTTTTTTACGCCTGTTCTCGTCTCCATTCCTCATTTGTTATACTTTTTCTTGTTTCCCCTCTGTGACTTGCACTGTCTCTGTTCTGTTACTCTGGTTCTGCCCCTGACCATCTGCACTGTGTCCCTGCTTGGGTTCCCTTCTTTTTTAATGTCCTTTTGTTCAGTTTCCACATTTGGCCCATTTTTTTCTACCCTCACGTCCGCCCCCCACCCCAATCTTCTACCTTTCCTCTTCTTCTCCCTCCTTTTACATGCGCTAAACATCAATTTTTCTTAAAAGTGAGCCATAGAAAATTACTTATTTTGTTCATCTTTTGTTGATTTATTTGCCATGCTTAACAGTGACTGTTGCAAAACTGTAGCAATGTTTTTACAACTTTGAGATGTTTATATGGTTTCTACCATCTTTCACCCCAGAGGAATTAACAAATGAATCACCAGTTTACTTTATTATTCTAATTAACGTGTGTTCTTCAGCTATGGGGTTCATTATACCATTGTTAATCTGTGTTCAGTATGCCTTAAAAACCATAGAGGAGGATGGGGTTGACTTGAACTAGTTAATCCTTTTTCGCTTGTAGGCTCTGTGTGGAAGAAGTATTATTTTTTTCGTTTATGTTCCAAATATTAATATTTATTTTATGTTCTCACATTTTATTTTAGTTTTTATAGTGTCTCATATGTTTTTGTATGTTGAGTAAACTGAAAAGTTTTAAGATGAAATACCTGAACTTTTCTGTTCAGTGATTTATTTTTCCATATCCTAGCCTGATTAAGATTTATAAGGCTCTGATAGTCAAAATGACAAAGTGCCTATAATGTAATTAGGCTCAATGAACTTGAGGGAGGTTGGGCAGAATATGGCTGGATGGCATCACCGACTCGATGGGCATGAGTTTGAGTAAACCCCAGAAGCTGGTGATGGACAGGGAGACCTGTCGTGCTGCGATTCATGGGGTCACAAAGAGTCGGACACGACTGAGTGACTGAACAGAACTGAACTGAATAAAGTCTTTTGTTCGTTGTAAGATCTTGAGCAAGTTATACTCTCTGCGTCTCATCTGCAGTGTGGGAATTATAACAATACCTACCTCACAGGAGAGTTGTGAAAATTAAATGAGATCCTATGTGTAAGCTACTTAGCACAATATATCATTTATTCTGTTACTAACACAGGTAATAACTTACCTTATCTTATCTACTAACTATAGCCTATCAATTGACTTCATTAATTCAGCCTTCATGGAACAAACATTCACAAACGATTATTCTATGGGCAGTACTCTTTTGACAGTATAGGTCAGAAGAAGTTTCTGCTGTGTGAAAGCCACCCTTTGCCAATAACTTTATGTGGCTAATAATGCCTATTCATTGAATAGTTTTAAACATCAAATCTAATGGGAAAGTCTGTGTTAAAGTTCTTAACATAATGTCTGATACAGCATGGGCTCTCAAAAGATTTTAGGTGTAATACATAATAGCAACAGTGATGACTGAGGAAGATGAGAGTGTGATGGAGAACATGCATGGTCCCAGCTCTCAGGGTGAGATAAGACTGTGAATAAACCATAGCTATTCAGCCTGTGAACAGATGCCTACAGTGATGGCCGGGTTACATGGTTGGCGGAAGACTTGAAGGGAAGTAAACCCTTGTTTGGGTGCAGAGGTGGGGTATGGGCAGGCAGACGGCATCTTTCCAAATTATGAATTATAGGTAAGAACAGAAAAGGTAGATGGGTCGGAGGCCAGATTGTGGAGAACTCTGGGCTGTTGTGCTTCCTAGGTGGTGGTAGTAGTAAAGAACCTGCTTGCCAATGCAGGAAATAAAAGTGACACAGTTTCGATTCCTGGGTCAGGAAGATCCCCTGGAGGAGGGCAAGGCAATCCACTCCAGTATTCTTGCCTGGAGAGTCCCATGGACAGAGCAGTCTGGCCGGCTGCAGTCCATAGTATTGCACAGAGTTGGACACGACTGAAGTGCACACACACCCTGAGCTGCTGCAGGGACTGTGGACTTGACCCTTAAGCAGGAGGGAACCTCTCTTGTGGCCGAGGGGGTTAGATTAGAGGGTGGCAAGTCTAGAGGCAGCGGGATCAGTGAGAAGATGAGCAGCATCTGTGCAGGAGAGACAAGAGTCTGCGTTAAGGCAATGGGAATAGAAAGGAAGCCAGTGATGAATACATATTTAGAATGAGACACTAATTGAACATGGGAATTCTAGGTTGACTGCCAGGTCTATGGAATGTTCCAGGGGGATATCAGACCACTAACTACCATGAGAAATAATGACAGGTGGAGCTTTGCATTCAGGAGGTGGGCATGTGCATCATGGAAATCAGGAGAGGGTCAGAGACCTGGGAAAAATCAGCACTGGAGTCTGTGGGATCATCCAGGAAGAGAAGAAAGAAGAGAAGGGGAGGGCCAAGGAAAAAACCCTGGGATAGAGGTATCTCAGAAGATGAAGAGGATTTGGGGCTAGGAGAGGGAACTGGGAAGGACTGGTAAGAGAAAAAGGAGAAAGAAGAGCTGTATGGGTGGGAAGTCAGCAAGAACAGTTGAGAACAGGGGAGAGGGTTATGTTGACAAGAGGGTAAGTGGACCATGAAAAGGGCTATTTGTGGGCCGTTGGAGATCTCGACCCATCTGCGTTTTGTGATGTGGTGAAGCCTGCAGCCTAACTGAAGTGAGTTGAGACATGAGTGGGAAGTGACCAAGGGGAAACTGAAGAGTAAAACAGCAACTCTGGAGGAGCTTGGCTATTAAGGAAAACTCCAGCTGTCGTGGAAGGTACATGCAGGATCCAAGGGCCCCTTGTCGGACAGAAGGGACTCACGTGCTCATAGAGCTGGAGAAGTGACAGCTTGGAGAATGACAGTGGAGAGTGACTGGTTGAAACCACAGGCAAAACATAGTACTATTGATGGTCCCTGAACATGGTCTCTGGGGAAAGGGAGCAGGACCCTGTGTGTGGAGAAGGAACTGTCCTCCTCTGAGACCCCAGCCAGAAGCTGACTTGAGTGTGGCACCAGAATGCATGCTTGTGGGTCTTTCCTGGCTCACTCAGAAGCAGGCAGGGAATAGGCTCATTAATTCATTCAGCCCATGTTTGAGTGCCCACCATGTACTAGGTACTGTCTTCCCCCACCCGACCTTACACTTTAGCTGTTTGAACTCCTGGTAGTTTCCCCAGTGGGCCATGCTTGCCTTCGCCTTTGCAGTTTTGTGCATGGCCCTTGTGCCCACAGTACCATTCTTGGCCCTCTTCTGCCCTTTCTTCCCCTTTGTCAGAATAACTCGCAGCTTTGGGTCTCAATAGCTGTCTCTCCAAGGAAGCCTTTGCTAACCCCCTACTCCTCACTAGAACTGCCTTGAAATGGGAACTCTGCTAATCAAAGCACCCTGCCCACCTCTATAGTAGTTTATGCAACTCCTGAAATCATTTGTATACTTGTCTAGCATGTGCTTGGCAAGCTAGAAAGATTTTTACCCCAAATGGATGATAAACATGACATAATCCCTGCCTCAATGCAGTAGTTGATCGTGAAGTTGATTCAGGTTTGGGTTTGCATGGTACAGTTGCCATCAGGACGAGGAGGCAAAGACTTGAGGGTAGAGAGACATTGAAGTTGCCCATGGGAGACCCAGTCAGGAAGGAAGTATAGTTGGGAGGGACAGATAGACTCTGAGAAAAGGGTGGATGAACAAACTGGAGATTTTGTTGTGGTCAGTGACCAAGTTGAGGAGATGCTGGAAAGGCTGAAGGATGAGCAGTTGTGGGATCCAAGAGCAATGGAAGATTTGAGGTCTGAGGTTTCTAAGGTGGAGCAGTTTAGCATGATGACTGGGTCTAGGCACAGCCAGGAGAGTGAGTGGCTGAAGTTATCTGGAGATCAATTTTTAAATGTTTGGAGTTGAGAAAGTAAAGGAACATGTGTGTGTGTGTGCACATGTACATGTGCTTGGAGTGGTTGGGTTGTTGAGGGGCCTTCCTTAGGGATTCTGAAGCCACCCAACATACAGATTGGGCCAGTCAAGGTCTGAAAATGACCAAAGACCAGAAGGGAAAGACAGGACACTGACAAATGGCAGGAAACTTAGAGGTGTGAGGGGGTAGCCATGGAGAGTCTTGCCTTGGGGATCTGGGACAGTGCTGACCATGTGGCCATTCTCTGTATCAGTGGCTGTGTTGGAAAACAGACCTACTGTGAGGAAGGGATGCTGTAGCATCTTGTTTCCAGGAGTCGGAGGGAGTGGGCTATGTGAAAAGTTTGAGAGGTAAGGTGACACTGTCTTGCCTTGATTCTTTCCCAGGCCATCTATAAAAAATAGTAACTTTGTTGGGAAAAGTAGATCTCTTTCCCCCATTTTGTGAACAGATTGATTGGTATCAATGAATGAGACATTAAGATGTAGAATTTCTGAATTTATCAACTCGTACTAACAACTCCCATTTATTAGGAATGCTTGCTGTGTTCTAGGCACTGTGCTAAGAGCTTTATGTTCACAGTTACTTTTAATTATCTTCAAAACATTAAGAGAAAGTAATAACACACCCTATTTAAAGATGAAAAGTATGAGGCTCAGAGAAAACTTTGTCTCTCAAAGTCATATATTCAAAATGTCAGATCTGGGCTTCAAACCAAGCTGTGAGCGGTATTTGATTCTCCAAGATTGTGGTTGAATGGCATCAACAACTCGATGGACATGAGTTTGAGCAAGTCCATCTGGGAGGTGGTGAAGGACAGGGAAGCCTGGCACGCTGCAGTCTGTGGGGTCACAAAGAGTCAGACACGACTGAGCTACTGAAAAACAGCAACAAGCATAGTGGAAATTTGGGAGGAAATAAAACTTTTTACAATAGCACAACCCTACATACTTACATCCTTAGTACTAACAGTCTGAACAGCTCTCCTGATTCCCAAGTTAATGTCAAGTGGTCCAAACTACCTGAAAGAGTATTTTGCCTTCATAGTCCACGTACCAGTTATATTGGTTAGTTGTATTGGTATGGCTGAAAAAATTACTCTATTTGTGTCCTAATGCTAATGTTAGTGTTAATGTGTTGGTCATTATAGAGTTGCTGGCAGCACAGACACAGCACTATTATCTCTTCTCTTGGGGAGAAGGGGAGAGGGGGTGTTGGGCTCCCACTGGTTCATGGTGTCTGTAGACTAAGGACCAGCCTCCTTCTTGAAATTATTACCCTTTTAATTTTGTAAATGGTATGAATCCAGCAAGATTAGCCAATGCAAAGTGAACCCAAGGACCCATTTTCTCCAAAAAGAATACCAGATGTAGAGAAGCCATTGCCTTAATGTGATGCAACCCTCCTCTGGGGTGTGGACAAGCAGTCAAGTGCAGTGAGTGGTTAGAACTGCGTTGAGGTCAGGCAGATTCTGGTTTGTATTCTGGGCTCTGTGGTTTCAGGCAAGTTGCAGTTTGTGAGCCTTGGTTTCTTTTTTTGTAAAATGGAGCTAAGAGTACCTACCTCGGAATTGTTAGGAGGATCAGTGAGTGGACCCGCTGAGAGCTCTTAGCACTGAACGGCACTCAGTATTATCAGCAGTGAGACATTGATGGGATAGATACATTTTTTAATTGTATGTAATATACATGGGTCTTCAACACAGTTTTCTTGGGGGCCAGCAAATTTTGGCAGTCTCAGCTCCCAGATGTGTAATATACTAAATAAGTGCTGGATATGATGAAACGGATTTTTTCTTTTCTAATGGAAGTCCTTTCTTTGCCAACCTGTGTGTTTTGTTTTGTTTTGTTTGCAGGGAGGATTTGATGGGGTCCTGAGAGAGGAGGTCGTGGCTGAGAAGCTCTACCAGCTGGGGCGCTCAGGCTCTGGAACGGAGCAGGTCTATCTCAGCCTGACTTTGTCAGTGAGTATGACAAGGTCACCATTGGATGGCTCCATCTTGACCCTGGTTGGACCATATCTGTGTTCTCTGATATTCACAGTTATTTTGGTGGTCCCAAATCTCTGAGTCTTGCATTTGACAGAGAATGGTGATGAGTTATTTATGTTTGACATCAAAGAGCCCTGGCCAGTCCAGTAATCAGCTGCCTTCCCCCAATTGCTTTGTTTTCATTTCCTTCACAGTCTGTCCCTTTCATCTTAAGCAGTCTGTTTTATAGTAATCAATGCTTTCTTTCTAGGAGGTTCAGTTTGATTCTGTAAAACCAATCAAAAACTCTTCTAAGATTTTTTTTTCTCTGATCAGTGGCAGGACTAAAATTTATATCTGAATCCAGGGGAATAAAGTATTTTGGTATTGACTTGCCCCCCTCCCCCATAAATATGTAGCTGTGAGCTATAGCTTACTTTCCAAAAGATATTTATTATGAAAGAAAACATGTATTGTTATTCATCAATTTATAAGATTTCGATACTAGCACAGAATCTTGGCTCTAAATTTATCATAAGAGAAGCTGTAAGAGCAGATTACTTAGGATTTCAGCTTTTGTCCTCATTTTGTGTCTTTATAGACACAGAAATACAATTTATCTCTTTCTGCTTCCTCATATTGTAAAGCATTAACTACCCCTTGGAGGTCCACGGAGTAAGTGCAGATATGTTGGTGAAAAAAGCGCACTGAAATTCCGCTATGGCACCCTACTTGGGCTCAAGCATATATAATTCCCAGCAAGGCTGTTTTGTCTTAGATTTGAACAAGTGAACTGCCTAAGAAATGTTAAGCCCCTTTTACCCATGCTGGTTTCGCGGCATGTCCTTTGACAACAGCATACGAAGGCTCTCATCTTTTACTGTTTTCACTTCACGACGTTTTAGGGATGACTCCGCAAGTCAGGCAGTAACATACAGGGAGCACCTTGGGTGTGTTGTGCTGTGTTGGGCTTTGGAGTGGAAGATAGTTCCCACAGCCAGTACACCCCCACATAAGTTCCTTTGAATCAAAATTCTACTTACGTACACAGTACCTCGCCTTAAATTGATCTGCAAAAAAGCACAATTCTTTAAATCTTATTTCGGCTAGATGGACTGAAGCTTAACTTACTTTGTCACTGACCTCCTTACATTTGAGATATTATATGGTGATTTACTTTGCCCGAATAACCTGTCTAAGTGAATGCACTTTCTTAGGGTTGGCCAGGTTAGTGATTTTCCCCCCTTATATCTTACTTATGTCACATGTAATTTTTAAACTTTCTTTTATTACTTGTGTGCACAGTTTCTCTCCTCCCCAAAGTCGTAAGTTTATAAGGGCTAAATATAGCTCTGGTCCATCATGATATGTGTTTCTCATCATGCCAAGCTTAATGCCTTGTACATAGTAGGTTTCTTAGTAATTATTACTGTTCTAGTGGCCTTCATTAAACATTCTTATCATTCTTATATTTAAGAACTTGCTTATAATGACACTTTATCAGTTGGCTCTGTCTGACTCTGGCATCACAGCGTAGACCAGTGACATGAATCTTTGTTCCAAGTGACCAAATTCCCCTCCAACCCCTCAGGAAGTTCAGTAGATGCAAGATTTCATGGAGAGTATCTGAGACGTGGATTCTGGAAATTTGGAGTTGCTTCTCTATTACTGACTCGCTAAGTGATTTTAAGCTATTTGTGTACTTCTCTGTACCCCACATACCTCCTCACTCCATTGGGGATAATGTGCCCTACAGATCTCACAGGTTTGTTTGATCAGATGAGATTATTGTGAGAGAGCTTTGAAAACCAAGCCTGAGAAAAAGTGTAGAAAGTATTGTTATTAATGATCACTTGATTAGGTGTGAACTCGTCTAACATTTTGTTTGAATTCTAGGCATTTGCTTTTTCTTTTCTTCTACAAGATAAAGGCTTTGGCTTTCTTGCTTTTATGTGTGTGCATGTTTTTATAAAATATAAAACTCTGCTCTAAAGGTCTTCATGAACACTGCTTTAATTTGCCTTTTCATGTTGTATTTGTTCTTGCTAACAACCCTAATTTTCCAGGCTATTATTTCCTTCAGAGGAATGCATTTTTGATGGGGTTTGTAGTCTCTTTTGAGATCCTATTAGTAATAGGCTTCAGGTTTTATCCTTTCACTCCTACAATACTTTCAAAGGACATTCTGGATTTCTCCGTCAACTTTTATTTCCAGATGTCTTGAGAAGCCTGAGTACTCATCTGCTAAAGCCACATTAAAGTCTTTTGCCTTTTATTTTCTCAGGATCTTGACTTAACTGATGTTAGCATCCTCTGTGGATATGTTCACCTACAGAAGTTGGATCTTTCAGTAAATAAAATTGAAGGTATGTCATTGTCATTCTAGTAAATCAATGGATCACTGAATTATTACAAAATTTAAGCTTTGCAGAGTGCAATGTACTTTAATACTACCAAACTTGATATAAATGCTATTATGGATCAGTTTATGCATTGATCCTCTATTTTCCATGAGGAAAAAAAAGCACCTCTGACGAGAAAAGAAAAATGCAGAGGTCAGCAGACATGCTGTATTATGTGATGGTTGAGACACATTCAGTAATATTGAAGAGTATCAGATGGAATGTTTGCTCTTTCCTTTCCAGAGATGGATCGTTACTTCTTTAATGCTTCCTGAATATTTGATGGTTTCCATTTCTTTCCCTCTATTAGTTTATTCAGTGGAGAGGAATTAGTCTTTTTCTTTCGCCTTTAATGGATGCTTTTCTTTAATTTGCATTTGCATCTACATCTTAATCCTGGCTAGCTGCTTCTGTTCTTATTTGAGCACCAGGGATTCAGAAATTTTTTTTTTCCCCCTCTTTGCTCTCTCTGTGTAGTTAGTAGGTTCTTACAGGTCTAACCCTGCCATTTATAGTTCCTTATAAGGTAGCTGTTGTGATACCTTGCTCACATTTAATGAAATTAGTCACATTTTCTTCAAAGCTTGATCCTTGTTTCTGTAATAATTTTCTGATCTTATTTGAAATATCTGACCTGCTTCTTTCTTCACTGATAACGTTTCTATTCACTTCTTTAGCTCTTTTTTTAAAGACCATTAAGGGTCGCTGATATGGTCTTCTCTGATTCATTTTCTGATTTCTTCCTCCCATCTGACTGCAGTAGTTAAAATTCACTCTTTTCAATGGCTAAGACACATTTCAGCATATTTTAATTCTAAAGTGCTACTGTTTTGAAACACTTTTTATTTTTTTTTCTAGTTTCATAAAACTTTTTTTTTTTTTGGAAAATTACAAACGTGCACAAGTAGAGAGGTTTGTAATGAATATTCAGGTTCAATAATTATCAGCTGGTGGCCCCTCTTGCCTCACCTACCCTCCCTTGCTCCCCTCCCCAGGCTATTTAAGGCAATTCCCAGATATCATATCATCAGAAAGATCTTAGTGTTACTAGAAGGTGCTCTCCCCACAACCCATACCTCCAAGATTGTTTTCACTTACTAGATAAGGGGTTGCAGGGACTCCAAGAATTTTTAGTGCTTGATGAAAGGGAGAGAAATGTGGCTTCAGATCTTTACCCCTTGAGCAAGTAGTCCTTGGGAGCGAATGAAGCTTTCCTCTTCAGATCAGTCTCTTTCAATCTTATATGTCATCTTTTATTAACTCATCAAGTGTTCAAGAACCTACTGTGAATGAAATGAGTGAAAGTGAAAAGTATTAGTCGCGTCCAACTCTTTGCGACTCCATGGACTGTAGCCTGGCAGGCTCCTCTGTCCATGGAATTCTCCAGACAAGAATACTTGAGTGGGGAGCCGTTCCCTTCTCCAGGGGGTCTTCCCAAACCCGGGTCTCCTGCATTGCAGGCAGTTTCTTAACCATCTGAGCCGCCAGGGAAGCCTGTGCCGTTGTTCACTCGCCCAGTCGTGTCCAGTTCTGTGACCCCATGCACTGCCGCACATCAGGCTTCCCTGTCCTTCACCATCTCTCCCGGAGCTTACTCAAACTCATCTCCATTAAGCCAGTGATGCCGTCCAATCATCTTGTTCTCTGTCGTCCCCTTCTCCTCCTGCCTTCAATCTTTCCCTGCATCAGGGTCTTTTCCAATGAGTTGGCTTTTCTCATCAGGTAGCCAAAGCATTGGAGCTTCAGCTTTAGCATCAATCTTTCCAATGAATATTCAGGGTTGATTTCCTTTAGGATGAACTTGTTTTATCTCTTTGCTGTCCAAGGGACTCTCAAGAGTCTTCTCCAACCCCACAATTTGAAAGCATCAATTCAAAAGCAAAGTGTAAGTCATAGTATATATTTTTCTTTTCAAGAGAACAGCTTTTTTGATGGCCTGATATGAACCAGATTTCAACTTGCATCAGTATTACCTGGAGGGGACCTATTAAAACAGAGATGCCTGTGCCCCACCCTCAGACTTTCTGATTCTGTAGATCTGAGGTGGGACTTGAAAATTTGCATTTCTAATTACTTCCCCTGAAATCAGAGACAGGACCACACTTTGAAAAGCACGGATGCAGACTGAGGAGCTCCTGCCATCTGGTGGACACTGAGGTCACTACACAGAGTAGAGAGAGTTAGGAGTCCAGCAACCCAGACGGTGAATTTTTTTCTATCAGAGTAATTTGAAAGCACTGGGCATACACCTGTATGGTGTATGTACATGGTGAAATGTACTCACCATCCAAGTGGTAGCTGCTGCTTCTGCTTTAAGATAGTGCTCCATGGTACCTGCCCACAGAAGGATCAACTTCAAGGAAACGTGGGGGCCTGTGGAAATGAAAAGGGTCAATGGAGATAATCACTGACAGACAGGGAGCTGATCTTGGCTGGTACAAATAGGCAAAACTGTAGGCAAATAGGCAAAATTGTGAAGCCATTACGTTTCTCCTTAGCTTTTCTCTTACGGGCAGCCTTCCTGGATTTGCTCATGAATTCCCACCAAAGTGTTGATGTCTTAATGTTTTGTAATTTCATGAGAAAGACAGGCTAAAGAAGGCTGTGGTTTAGACCAGAGAAATGAAGTAGAAATTGGTAGGAATCTCATGGCTTCTGCCACCCTGAGAAGCACAGATGTCGAGAGGATGGGTGGGGAGGACCCTCACCTTACCAGCTCCACATTCTTCATGGCACAACCGCAGGGTTCGGCTATGCTCCCTTCTCCTGGCCTGGGGGTGACTCTTACCTGGTGAAAGGAGAAGCATTTTGCTGGGCTTCAGGGGTGTGGAAGCTGTGTTCTCCTTCAGAGGCGGTCCTCTGAAGAGTTGTGATGGCTTGATTGTGTGATCTAGAGTGAGAAGATGGGTGGAGACGCCCATTGCTAGTAGAGATGGTGCTGTAAATCCTTAAGATGTGACTCTTCCCGAGCCTTTTCCCTGATTCTCCTGCTGCCCCAAAGTCTGTCTCCTGTCAACTGGCAGAGAAGCAGCGCAGCGCTTCCCTGTTTCTTATGTTGTATATGTCATGTCATTAGGACTGAATATTTGCACAATAGTCTTTACTTAGTATTCTAGGTACAGAATATTGGCTGGGGATAAAACGCAAAACTCAGACATGGTTTTGAACCAGCCCAGAATCAAAGTAAAATAATAGCCATAATTTAAATCACTTCAAATAATTAATGAGATTTAAGATTGAGTCCATCTGAAACAAAATGTAATTTATAACAAGGAACTAATTGTAGCATTTGCCGTCTTTCCGAAAAGACCTAATGCAGTTATTCACGGGCTAATTATCGAGAGGATTATGTAAAGCTTTAGTTCCTCCAAGCCTGGCATTTTTGAAGCATTGACTGTTAGCAGCTGGGGGAGAGTGAGCTGGGACTCAGGAAACCTTGGCCATTTCTATCTTGAAGGTATTGGAAGATGGGAACAGGAGGGGTGAGGGGTCCCTGGAGAAGAATAGTTCCACTGTGGGGGCAGGGGGCCCTGGAGAAGAAGGTTACATTGTAGGCTCATGATGTGTTTTCCATGCTCTGTGTGTGTGTGTGTGTGTGTGTGTGTGTGTTGTTTTGCATATTCATATTTTTGTTCATTTAATTATCTGGAATAATTAAGATGTGCTTGCAACTAGCATAATTTTAAAATGTCCTGATATGATGTTTGCTGTTTTTAATGACTTTGTCTAATTTTTACTTTATTGGCTTACCTTATTCTGTATTCATTTCCACTGTCCCTCCTCCCAGATTTGTCTTGTGTGAGCTGTATGCCTTATCTTCTAGAACTTAATGCTTCTCAGAATCACCTGAAAACATTCTTCAATTTCAAACCACCCAAAAACCTCAAGGTAGGTTTTATTAATACACTAATTACATGTGTTAACTGATTTGTGAAATACATTAACAAGCCAAACAGCACCCAAAGAGAATTCACAGAGAATAAGGTAGAGGGAAAACGAATTTTAAAAAAGGAGAAGGACTTGTGTGTCATTTATTTTAGAAAAAAAGATAGAGTCTTTCAGGAGATATTTTTCAGAAGCTTTGCTGAAACCTAGTGTTCAGACCAAAGAATTAACTTCCTTCCTTTTTCTATGCTTCATTTAAATACTAGTTATTGTTTGTTTATTTTTGTTATAGTATAACACTTTTGTACCTGAAAAATATGTAAAAATTTCCTGGGGGCTTACGTTTTGCCTTCTTATTGATCCAGCCTTAGCTCCTATTTAGAAAGCAGTGATTTCACATCTTCATTCTTGCTTCTCTGCACATGCTTCTGCATTTCTGAGGCAGAATGAAGCTCGAGAATGATGATTGACAGAGCAGCTTACTCTGCTATGGAACCCAGGGTCTCATGCTTTAATGTGAATATAGCTCACGTGGCATTCTTGTGAAAATGAGATTCTAACCTAGGAGGTCTGGGGTGGGCCTGAGACTCTCCTTTCTAACAACTTTCCTGGCAAGCCATTGCTGCTGACCCATGGATCATACTTCAGAGAGATCACAGACTGATGGTACCCCAATTTTCTGCACATTGGAATCACCTGGGAAGTTTTAAAAACTGCTGATGCCTGGACCCCACCCACTCCCAGAGGTTCTGATTCAAGTGATCCAAAGTAAAGCCTGAGTGTGGGGATTTTTAAAGGACCCTGCCCACGTGGCTGTAACATGCTGATGAATTTGGGAACCATTGCTACAAGCTGGGGTTGAGTGTCCTTCTACTGGACTCAAGTATTTCATTAAAAATTATTTTGCAGAACGGAAAACAATTGCTTTTTATTATCTATTAGTTTTACTTATTTAGAAACCAAGTTAATTTAGATTCAGAGTATCCTTCTGGGTCCATTTGAAGTCAAGAATCTGACACCATCTCCACTGCCAGGGAGATGTCTCTTAATTTTTCTTCTATTGTTTCACATTGCTACATTTTTATAAGTAGTGAATTTTTTTTCCCTTTGAAGTTACAGTTATTGTTGGGGTTTCATTCCTTTACCCAGATAAGCCACACATAGTGCCTGTTGGTCTTCACTGTGGGGCCTCACAGTCTCCAGGTCATCAGGAATTGTTCTTGCAGAGCTGTCTGGATTCTCTGTCCTTTGCTCTCTGGGTTCTCTGTCCCTTCCATCTTGCCCTAGACCCCAGGGGAACCAGCCACAGCAACAGAGTGAACCCTGGGAAAAACTTTCCTGGAGTTTCTTTTATTCACAACCTTACATCACCCCATCCCTCAAAAGACTGCGCAGGAAAACTAAAGCAAATCAGATAGCCCATCTCTCTCTTTTTTTTTTTAAGAGCAGTTTTAGGTTCAGAGCAAAATTAAGGGGAAAGGACAGAGCTTTCCCATGTACCTCCTGCCCCCACTATATGCACAGCTTCCCCACAGTCAACAGTCCCCACCAGAGTGGGGCATTTGTTACTCTCCAGCCTCTGACACATCATGGTCACCCCAAAACCACAGTTTACGTTAGGATTCACTCTTGGTGTTGTACGGGCTGGGCGTTTGGACAAGCATATAATGATGTGTTTCCATCATTATGGCAGATACCTCAGTGTTTAAGGTTCCTAGAGAATTCAAGAGCAGATATATTGGCACCTTTAGAAAAGTGCTTGCAAAGTGCCAGAGTGCCCCTGATGAGAGACTTCGACCCTATGTGAGCCCTAAGTGAACCCCTTTGTGAACCTGGGAGGGGAGTGATCGAGATCTTCCAGAGTTTCCAATGCAGGATCTTACCAGATCCCCCCAGTAAGAACTGTGAGGCAACTGGGATGGTCCCATTTTACACATGGATTTGCAGAAGCACAAAAGGTCAAATAACTCACTCAACCTTTGCCGGGAGGTCACAGGCTGGCACTGAACCCCATGACTGAGGCCCGAAGCCCATTTTCTCCCAGTAAATGAGGCTTGTGTATAATATCCCACCCTCTGGGGAAGCTTTGCTTCTCTTTCATTTATTATTTTAGTGCCTTGTGCCACCAACCAGAGAAAGCATACTCCAAGGAACAGGAGCCCTGACCCTTTTTATATTTGCTGGAATGATTTTGCTCTTAGTAGGTGAAGAAGTTTCATTTGATTGATGGGCACTGCTTACAAGCTCTGGGCTCCAATGGAACTCCCAATGGGAGTCAGGGCAGTATCGTAACACTTTTAAGGCCTCTCAACAAGCCCAGTGTAAATAAATGGATGGATAGAATCCTGATAGGGGTGTAGATAGGTATCATGAGCAAAGAGGTCAGTTGTAAATAAGGCTAGATAATTAGAAGTTTATTTCTAGCCCATCATTATTATATGGAACAAAAAAGTAAACATGAAGCTTCATTTTGTTATGCCAAACTGACTTTTTAATTCAGTCATGGGATACATTTTACATAGTTGAAACTTGTATATGCATAAAATTTTGTTTCTGATTTTTTGAACTAATGGCATTTTATTTGCATATTTCTATTTCGTCACATGATTCACTTACTTTTATTTTACTGACTTTGCAGTCTTGTGATGTAATCAATTTGACCAGTTTTCTACTCTTTCCACTTGAGCTGTTTTCAAAAAGGATTTTTTAGTATTCAGTATTTAAAGCTTTTAGTATTTGAAGTATTTAGTATTTAACATATTGATAAAAAATAATCTTAGCACTTTGGGGGGGTTAAAATTACTGTTTTAAAGGGCAAAAGAGGATAAGAATAGTACTTATTATATAATTGCTTATAGTTTTCCAGAAAATGATTACAATGTGCCCAACAAAGTTATCAGTGCAGTGTTTAAAAAATATTTCCATCTTTTGCCAGTAGGTGAATAATTAATGTTATTTAATATTGTTTGTCTTTCTCATATTTTTGAGTAGGGACAACTGATACTTTTGAAAATGCTTTCCTATAATAGAATAGTCAATTTTGAGAAAGGGTGCTGAGTGGAAGAGGTATGGCTTGAGGGATAAATAAGAAAAACATTTCTGGCATTTAGGGGGTGATGTGGGAGAGTAAATTGAGATAGAAGCAGAGAAAGTGAAGAAACTAGAAACAGGATATACATATAAACTAGGTGTACACAGGCTACTGGGAGTCAGAGAAGATGGCCACATGGTGGTTAGTAAGGGTGAAGTTGAGGTTAAGTTCTGAAAGAAGATCAAGAAAGTTTAAAATAAATGCTGAAAATGGGGAGAATGACTGCAAAAATGGAGAGCATTTCTGTTGTGGGGGGGGGTGTGCACTGGCCACAGGGAAGGGTCTCCCCCTTACTTCCCCCCAAAATGGACAGAAAAGAGTCCCAGCTAGGACATGATTAAACACAGGGCAAATAAGTTAGCCTGAGTGTCTTTTGAACTGGTAACTCCTCATCAGAAAAGACATTCTTCTTGTCCAGTAATTGTGTGGTTAAGATGAATAACATCCTGCTCTCTTTCTATCAGAAGGTGGATTTTTCCTGCAACCAGATTTCAGAAATGTGCAGTTTATCGGCATATGAGTCTCTCACGAAGCTAATTTTGGACAGTATCCTTTGAATGAGTAACGGGGAAAGTTTGGTTAATAGGCCCGTATAGTTAATACATGTGTCGTTAATATGTGTGTACTGGATGATATGAAGTAGTGCCAGATGGGCAGATTTACTAGAGATGTGTGACTTGTTGAAATGGCTCGGCATTGATACTCGCAAAACGAAGGAAGGTGTCTTACTGACTACAGAGTAAGATTGCAAGCAAAGCTTGCCAAGAACTTCTTACACCTGAGAAGCTAAGAAGTGAACATAGGCTTACTTTTAATTCTAGAACCAGATAATAAGTTCTGTTTACCCAACTCCCTTCCTCAAATTTACTTAAACTTGGTGCCCTACTTTATGTAAGTCCAATATCTGAAAATCCAGATATGACCAAAATTAGTAAGTATTTATTTTATAAAAAAATTCATACAAAGCTCCCTTTAACTAGCAATCTTCTCCAGTGTATTTCAAATGATGCTTCCATAAAAAATGTTTTAACAGTTGTTAAACCAAAAACTTTGATTCATAGCCAACTTTAGCAATATACCTGTTTCATGAGCCAGGCTCCCGTGCAAACAGAGTGCCTACTTTCAAGTAGACACACTCCAGCTTCTGGACCCTAAGGGGTTGACAGGGGATCTGTGAGTTTAATGAGCTTGAACCTCTTTACACCAGAGACCGATGTTCTCTGGGTGACAAGGGAGCAGTGCCTTCTCTTTCTCAGTAAGTATCTTTCTACCCACCTGAGGATTTTTCGGTGCAGAGTGGAGAATGAATTGATTGCCCTCGGGTGCTTCATTCCAGGGATGTGGCAGCAGCTAATACACACTGCACTTGTAATGAGGCTGGGATGTAGGGAGAACAGAAGATACATTTTCTTGAAGACATATTTTTTAGGAAAAACCCTTTATTTGTATATGATGGAAAGCTTAAAACATAGCATCACTCTCTTTAGAACTTATATGTGAAAATGAGCAATTAGTGGGAATTTAGATGGTGCTCTTGAAACATGCAAGTGTTCCTGAACGTAGCCTAATAAGAAAATGATCAAAATGAAACGTTTTGATGACAGACTAAAAGTAGTACACACTAGCAGCACCCGTTCACAGAACCTTACTTTATACTTGACTGTTGTATGTGTATTGCATTTACAAAGAGATATAGTCTGACAACCCTGACACAGTCTGGCTTGGAGATCTCGTCATCTCAGGCCATCTAGAAGAATGCTCCTCAAGGAGCAGCAGCAGCAGCAGCATTGCCTGGAACTTCTTAGAAATGCAGGCTCTTGGATGCTGCCCCAGACCTCTGAAATCAGAATCTGCATTTTTAACAAAAGCCCCTGGTGATGTGAGTTGATAGTAAAGCTTGAAAAGCACTAGTCTAGAAGTCAGCTGCCCCCTAAGCCCCCACCAGCCAGAAGAAATTGAGTATCCAGAGCCACTTGTAGCCCCCAGGGTACGCTGAGTGGCACTGTGACACAGCAGTCTGGAATTCTGTCTCCCAGAAAAATAGTCTTCCATGTGCAGCATGGTATTTTGGACTGAAGATGCTCTTTATATTTTAGACTGAAGATGCTCTTTAAAACATATCTATCATGAGAGTCTCAATTTCTACCAAATTTATCTTTCCATGTAAAAAGCTAAACTATTATGGCTTTGTAAATGTCAGTGGAGAAAGAAATCAGGGTTTTTTTAAAACTTAACTTTAGATGTAACAATGGAGTCTTCTCTCCAAAGTATAAAAAGCTTTAATTACTACATCAGAACTGATTGGAATTCAGAACATGGACACAAAATTAGAATGTACTGTAGCACTGTTCCTCACCTGGGTTTTTAAAAATGCAAAGACAAGTACCCAGAACAAGCTTCCCTTCATAAACAACTTCTTAGATAGCTTACAGCTTTGAAAGAGGGTAGGCTCGTTTTTAAATAGTACTAGCTATGCCTCTTTCTTTTGTTCTGTTCAGGCATATCATGTTGTGTGTAGTTATGTAATTAGAGTTTTGAAAAGACTAAAAAGCTTTAAGATAAAGGATTTCTAGACAATTTTTTAATGTCAGTACATTTGAAAACTTAGATGAAGTGGATAAATCCCTAGAAACATGTTATGTACCAAAGCACTGGCTTGGAGATAGAAACACTGAGTAGCCCTATCACTATTAAAGTAACTCATTACAAATTAAAATGAATTAAATATCTTCAAACAAAAACCCCACCAGACCCAAACTTTGAAGAACAAACCTTTCAAAAATGAACAAATTCTTTCAAAGATTTAAGACAGAAGGCATATGCACGGTTAATTCTAATAAGATTACTTTGATACCCAAACCAGACAAGGAAAGATAAGAGAAAGGAAAATGGCAGGCTTATTTCACTTGTGATATAGATGTAAAAATCCTAAACAAAATATTAGCAAACTGGATCTGACAATATATGAAAAAGATAATATACCATGATGAAGTTATGTTTATCTCATGAATGTAAGGTTAATTTAACAGTAGCAGATTTTAAAATGTCATTAATAACTTGAACTGATTAGGGGAAATAAATCATGTGATCAATAGATACATAAACTCAATAGATATGGAAAATTTAATGGAATCCATTTTTCCTTCACAATAAAAACTCAGTAAACTAGTAATAGGAAATTTCCTCAACTTGGTAAGAATGTCAACAAAAATATTTGAAACAAACTTTATCTTAACTGGGGACATGTTAAAAGCACTCTTTAAAATCAAGGATACAAGGCAAGATAGCTACCTTTGCCACTTCTAACCGTCATTTTTTAGAGGTGTTGCTGCTGCTGCTAGTCGCTTCGGTCGTGTCTGACTCTGTGTGACCCCAAAGACGGCAGCCCACCAGGCTCCCCCGTCCCTGGGATTCTCCAGGCAAGAACACTGGAGTGGTTGCCATTTCCTCCAATGCATGAAAGTGAAAAGTGAAAGTGAAGTCGCTCAGTCGTGTCCGACTTCTAGTGACCCCATGACTGCAGCCCACAGGCCCCTCCGTCCATGGGACTTTCCAGGCAAGAGTACTGGAGTGGGTTGCCATTGCTTTCTCCGTTTAGAGGTGTTACTCAGTACCAAAAGATAAGAAAAAGAAATTAAAGGAAAATATAAAGATTGATACAGACAAAAAGTCATTTTTTATAGATGATGTGATTGTCTACAGAGAATAGGTAAAAGAACTTGCAATAAATTACTAGAAATAACAGAGTTTTGAGAGTTTAACAAGATAGTTGGATATGACTTCAATAAACAGAAATCAGCTGCATTACTCTACACCACAAACAAGCAACTAAAAAACACAACCGTTAAAAGAAACACGATTTACAAGAATATATTTCTTATTAAAAATGAGTAAGACTTGTAGAGGGAACATAATAAAACTTTATTGAAGAGTATTAAAGTCATAGCTGAAGGGAAATATGTTCCTGGATATGAAGATGGGAGAAGGTATGTAAAAATAATTTTATAGAAAATGAATCAGAAAGACTAATAAACATATGAAGTCATGTCAATCTCACTTGTACTCAGGGAAGTGCAATTCAAGACCATGAGATACTGTGTCACAGCCATTCGATTGGCAGGATGTAAGAAATCTAAAAATACCCCATGTTGGAGAGCACATCGGTCCGGAGGATCTCTATTTTTCTTCCTACAGTTGTAAAATTAGTTCAACCACTTTGGAAAGCAATTTTGTGCAGTCTTGTAAGGTTAAACATCCACGTTTTGTGACCTAGCCCTTTCATTCTTATGTCTAGGAAGTTTAGCATACGTGTACCTGGAGGCTTGTGTAAGAATGCTCATAGCAACATTGCTTATAACAGCAAAAATTGAAATAGCCCAAATGCTCCTTGATAAGAGAGAGCATAAATAAATTATGGTATACTGACATAACAGCATTATCATACAGTAGTGAAAATGAGTGAACTCTATCTCTGTGTGCCACTTCCGTTGGCTGTTAATAAAACCAAATATAGTTTAGGTATAAAATCAAAGGGGAAAGGAAAGGAGAAATAGGCAGTTCAGCCTAGGGGTTATCTTTGAGAGAGAGACATCAGGATGTTACAGGAGACATGGCAGCTCAGGGCTCCAAGACACAAAAGAAGCCACTGCCAGGCCTTCTTAAGTCTTAGATTTGGAACCAGGACTTTTCTGCCGTATTCTTTGGGTTAAGGCAGGTCATGGGTGCAGCATGAATAAGCAGAGGCATGTATCAGACTACCACAGACCTGTGTTTTTAAGAATATTCATCAAAGTTTTAAAAGTAAATAGAAGCAGGCCGAGTAAAAAAATTTTTTTTTAATTTTAATTTGAAGATTAGAAATTAATTTCCTTGAAAATAATTATTTACCAAACTTCAAACTTTAGCTCTATCAGAATTCCCTGGAGGGCTTGTTAAAACACCTATTGCTGGTCCCCATCCTCCAAAGCTTTTGCTTAAGTAAGTCTGGAGTAGTACCTGAGAATTTGCATCACTAACAAGTTCCTGTTGTTCAGTTGCTAAGTTGTGTCCAACTCTTAGTGACCCCATGGACGGCAGCCTGCCAGGCTCCTGTCCTTCACTAGCTTCCAGAGTTTGCTCAAATTCATGTCTGTTGAGTCAGTAATGCCATCTAACCATCTCATCCTGTGCCAGTTCCTAGGTGATGCTGATATTGGTGGTCTGAGGACCACACTTTGAGATCCACAGCTCTAACCTAATCAGTCCCTTCTATTATGTTTTGAATATCATGTTTTTTTAATCTGATGCCATTCTGCTTGTCCTTTTTTAAATGCTTTAGGAATTTAGCTGTTTTCTATTTTAAACTTTTTAAATTTGTTCAAGCTTTCCTTAGTGAGCATCTGTATTTTCTATTTGAGGGGGAAGAAATGCACCTTTGTTTAAAATAAAATTAAAATAGAAGTATAATTATCAATATTAGAAGCCGTTATTTAAAATAGAAACAAATTGGTTAATCAAACTAGTAGTGCTGACAATGTGATTATAGTAGATTATGTTAATAACTCAAT